ATGCGCGAAGCTTAGTAAACAAATCAGCAGAATTTCAATCTCTCGCTGCAGACCTGGACCTAATCGCTGTCACTGAAACTTGGTTAAAACCTCATATATTGGACTGTGAGATCTTGCCTGGTTTAGACTTTTCCATCCATCGACGCGACAGAAAGGATAAAACTGGAGGTGGAGTTATGCTAGCAGTAAAGAACTCTATACAAACTCTTCGTCGTAAAGACTTAGAAGGTGATGCGGAAATTGTGCTATGCGAACTTCGTCCTGAAGCCAGGCGTAAAATCCTGGCTGTTGTGTTTTACAGGCCGCCCAATTCCAACCTTGACCATCTGAAAGAACTTAAAAAGTCACTACGCCACGCCTCTCAATTCAATTTCGATCAAATAATCATCTGTGGGGATTTTAATCTGCCTGATATTGATTGGTCTACTGGCATTGCATCGTCTTCCGAATCATTGCACAACTACTTTACTAAATTTGTCAAAGACAATTACTTGTGGCAGTTGGTTAACTTTCCAACGAGAAACAACAACATTCTTGACTTGATCTTAACAAACATTCCTGACAAAATACATAATCTACATGGTTACGACGACATTATCTCTACCGATCACAAATTAATAGGTTTTGATCTAGATCTAAGGGTCCCTAAGAAACCGGATATTAAACGCTCCGTCTACAACTTTAAAAGAGCAGATTGGTCTGGTCTAAACAACTCACTCCAGAACACCTCTTGGGACCAGTGTTTTGTACCTAATGATGTGGATGCTTCTCTCTCAAATTGGTGTGCTGTTTTTCTAACCGTTGTTAACCAACACGTGCCTAAATCTAAGACCAGAAATATCCATGATCATCCTTGGATTGATAAAGAGCTTTTGTCTCTCATTAAGAGAAAAAACATGCAAAGACTAAAAGCCAATAGATCAGGTAGTGTTCATGACGCTCAAAAGTTTAAAGATCTTCGACGCCTAACGAAACAACTTATCTCGCAAAAAAAGAAGGAGTACGCAACTAAACTCAGAGACTCTGTCACGGAAAACCCGAAACGGTTCTGGTCTTTCGTAAAATCCTCTAGGTCGGTCAAAATCACCGCGAACTTCCTTCGAGATAATCAGTCTTTTATTACTGACAGCCGTGACAAGGCTAACCTACTGAACTCCTTCTTCCACTCAGTCTTTAGTCCTGCTCAAGCTACCACTACAACACGCACATCCAATCTCCCATTCTCCTCCGACACAGCCTTATCCAACATCCAACTAACAGAAAACGAAGTCTTTAAAGCTCTTGACGGTTTGGATCCAAGCAAAGCATGCGGACCTGATGGGATACCTGGAAAACTTCTCAAGATGACGGCTAACATAATCGCACCATCTCTCTGTTATATATACAATCTTTCTTTGTCCCAGGGTGTAGTTCCTGCTTGTTGGAAGCTCGCAAACATTACACCTGTATTCAAAAAAGACGATTCAACGCTCGCTTCAAACTATAGACCCATATCCCTATTATCTATCATCTCAAAAACGTTTGAACGCTGTGTATATAACCACTGCTATCCACATCTATCACCACGTTTCTACCACCTACAGCATGGTTTCTTAAGGGGTAAATCTACGGTAACTCAACTACTCCACGTCTACCAAGAAATCCTAGATCACTTAGCTGGTGGGAAAGAAGTTGATACAATCCACCTAGACCTGTCCAAGGCCTTTGATCGTGTTCAACATCACATGCTTCTGAACAAGCTTGAGCAATATGGCATATCAGGCTCGCTTCTTCAGTGGTTTCGCAGTTACCTAAGTGACAGATATCAGCGCGTTGCCTTAGATGGGACCCTCTCAGACTGGCTCCCCGTGACCTCTGGAGTCCCACAGGGATCCATCCTAGGACCCCTCCTGTTCCTAGTATACATTAACGACATGCCAGAATACGTAGGACAGGGCTCGAGTATTGCATTATTTGCGGATGACTCTAAACTATATAGGCCCATAAACTCGGCATCTCACCATCTGTTGCAATCGGACCTTTCAGGCCTTCTTTATTGGAGTAATGACTGGGGCATGACGTTCAACCCATCCAAGTGCAAAGTGATGCACATGTCTCGGAAAAAGGTCTGCTCCTCTGCTTCACTCCAATACCACCTGAACGACAAGCCCCTGGAAAGTGTGACACACATCTCTGACCTGGGTGTCATCGTATCCAAAGACCTCTCCTGGGCTAATCATATTGAAGACATATGCACCAAGGCCAATAAAACCCTTGGTCTAATTAAGCGGGTGTGTGCTAGAGACGTTGTGGATGCTAATACGCGGAAGCTTCTCTATTGTGCTGTTGTACGACCTAAGCTTGAGTACGCGTCGTGTGTGTGGTCACCTTACTCGGCTAAACAACGTAAATTAATAGAGAACGTTCAACGCAGAGCAACGAAATTCATTCTGAACTACCCTTCTCGTGATGTTACCTACAGAGACAGACTAATATCCCTAAACTTTCTCCCACTTGAACACAGGCGTGAACTTTATGACCTAACACTATTATACAAAATCAAATACAACCTTATTAATGTCACCTTTAACCAATACCTTACACCTGCAACTAACCCCTATGCCACACGCAACTTCGACCCTAACAACTATAACATAATCGTCTCCAATAATCAAGAATTCTTCCGACAATCCTATTTCCCACGCACTGTCATTCTCTGGAACAATCTACCACCGAACATCAAAGCCGCCCATTCCCTACAGATCTTCAAGCACCATCTACAATCTTATTACAAAGCCAAACTGTTTACCTACATACCACCATAGTTAATCTTGTTCTATAATTCGTTGTACAGTATCCTATATGTTAAGTTCCATGTAATCTGTGATATGTTCGTGCATAATTGTCCTAGTACGTCTCGTTATCCATTAATTGTTAAGGGGTCGAATATCAATTGGAATTTAGTTTCTGTTTTCTTCTCCTGTCGCAGCATTCTCTAGTTATTGTTATTGTTATCTCTACGTAAATGTATATCTTTAATGTGTGTGACAAAATGAATAAATAAATAAATAAATAAATAAATAAAACAGTGTTCCATATTAGGTAAAACAAACGCTTTGTACAAACTTGTTATAATATTTATCGGAACCATTCTCTTAAGGCGTCGTAGGGCAGCAATCTCGTCAATATGCTGCTTGAAATCTAAATTTCTGTCCAGTGTCACTCCAAGTGTTCTCAAAGATTCGTGAATTTCTAATGGCTGGTTGTCAATTTTAAGGTTGTACGAATAGTCAGATTTCCCTAAGATCATTGCTTTTGTTTTGCCATTGTTGATTTGCAAGAAGTTTTCTTTGAACCAATAGGATAATTTCTGTAGATCACGGTTAAGCGAGTACTCTAATATGGCAGGACATGTATCAGATGAGTACTGGGTGGTGTCATCTGCATAAAGACGGAGTGATGTGTCGTCGACATACCAGTTAAGATCACTGATGAAAACATTAAATAGTAAGGGTCCCAGTAAGCTCCCTTGAGGGACACCACATTTTAAGGTCAGCCAATCTGAGAAGACTCTATTACATTTCACCCTCTGGCTTCGTTTAAATAAATAAGATTTCATTAACATCAACGTATTGTCCTGCAAACCGTAAGCCTTTAGCTTTGCAATCAACAACTTGTGGCATATGGAGTCAAATGCTTTCCACAAATCGATTGCCACAACACCCACATCCTTCTTTTGATCAAGAGCTTTTCTAAAGTCGCCTGTCAGCTTAATAAGTGCCGTTGCACGCGAATGACCACGAAGAAAACACGACATGTTATTTGAAAAGATTGGAGAGAAATGTTTGTATAACTGATCGGATTTAATTTTCCCAAAAAGCTTTGGAATGCATGATACGATGGTGATCGATCTATAATTTGTTTTAATGACAACGTCATCTTTTTTGTGAACAGGGGTGACATTTCCTTGTTTCCATGCATTCGGCCAGGTACTTTTATCAATACAATAACTAAATAAATTAGTGAGTGGCAAGGCAATTGCAGGAGCTGAGGCTTTAAGTAACTCTGGTTGATAACCGTCAGGCCCACTAGCTTTCTTTTCATTTAAGTTTAACAAAAGGTTGCTAACGAGCTCCATGTTAATTTGCTGGAATGAGAAATACAAATCATGACATTATTCCTTGATTGCCCGTGTTGTTCAGTCAAGTTTAAGATTGTTTCTTCAACAGACGGGGTCGTAAAATAGTTATTGAATACTGAGCTAGGATCTGTAATCATTAACACATTTTCAATAAGTTTATTGTCGATCCGTCATTATTAGATTTATTGGTTGGTAAAAGTGGTTTCATTTTTTTCCAAAATAAACCAGTTGACGAGTTCGGCGTTGAAGTTGCTTCTAAACAAAATTGCTTGACTGCTTTTCTTTTCATGTTTGTGACCAAATTACGCTGGGTTTTATACTTAACCCAGTTTTCTTCTGAGGAGATTTTTCTAAACTTCCAATATAAACTGTTTCTTAGTCGAATTTGGTTTTGGATATCTGCATTAATCCAGGGTAATTCATTACTTCTCAGTCGGACCTGCTTCACAGGAGCATGATTGTCAAGCACTTGCTTAAACAATGATGACCAGTGAAGCCAAACATCATCTACATCATCATACACGTAGGAACTGTCCCATGGTACATTCTTGAGATCCGAGATAAAAGCAGACCGATCAAAGTTCTTTAATGACCGAAATTCAATTAGCCTTGCTTTAGGTTTTGGTAGATTTTGTTTCCGAACGAGATACAGTAGGTCATGGTCACTTATGGGTAACTAAGATAACATCTAGCAGATTTTTACTTGTATTTGTCGCTCTGGTGGGATTCAGGATCATATTAGTTAAGCAGAATTGATCACAAAAATTTGAAAGTTCCTTACTCGGGCCCAAGGGATTATCATCACCCTGTAACATATTCATGTTAAAATCGCCCATAAATATAATTTCCTTTTCGCTTAGCATACAACCGTTCAGCTGCACTGCTGAGCAAAAGGAGACAAAGTCTATTATTTTGCATTTTCCTGGTGACCGATAGCATATACAGAGTAAAAACCAATTTCCCCCACCGCCTTTAATATCGATGCATATTGCTTCAATACCCTCTGGGTCAAGTTTAATTTGACGTCGTGCAGTTACATTTGAGCGTATATAGACAAGTAAGCCACCAGCTCCTTTTTTCTGTCCTGTCTAATTATACGATAGTCTGAATGCGTTAGTAACGAATTAGACAATGAGGCATCGATCTTGGTTTCACTAATGGCAAGGATATCAAACTTACAATCGTTTAGTAAATTAAAAACTTCACCGGCTTTAGAGTATATACTGCTGACATTTAAATGACCAATCTTCAGGTTGTTTTTATAATAATCATTTATGTTCATATTGAACCACTCAGTGCCCGACAGTGATGTTGAGGTCGTATTTGCACAACATTAGCGCCAACATTAGTAGAGTCAACATCTTCTTCGAAACTATTCGGGGTTGATAACAAGTGATCATTTTGCTCAAAGAAATAAGAGTCATTTAATTGGGGTAGTGCGCAAAACGTACAAAGTCCAGTCGTTAGGATGACAAGTTAAATACTCAACAACTTCCTTAGAAATACCAAGGCATTTCGTGTGCGACCAACCCTGACACGTTGCACAAGACACAGCTTTCTGACTTTTTCGAATTTTCCTCTCACACTCTTTGCAGATATGCTTACAGTGTTTTGTTGTAATTGGACCAGGGTTAGAATGAACATCGCCAGACAGCACTAAGCGATGCAACTGATAGCAACTTGTACCATTTGTAGAATAGGATATTCGACCAGAGAAGAACGCCAGATTGTTTGTGAATAACATAACGAATTCCTCGGGTTGTACTGTCGCGGTGCAACTTAACATTAATAATGTTAACGTGATTGTTTTCCCTATATTGCATACATACTTGTAGTTAAGAAACCAAAATGATAGAAAACAAACTATATTTTAAGGAGCTGTTTAAACCACGTCCACACTCCATGACGTAGTATACGATTGAGCATATACCTATGGATTGTTATACATGACTATGGAGTGTTGTAAATACCTTTGGAGACCAATAGAAAGCTATGGAGCGTTATAGAACCTATGGAGCCCAATAGATAGCTATGGAGCGTTATAGATACCTCTGGAGTAAGCGCTATAGATACCTATGGAGTCTTCCAGATAGCAATGGAGTGTTATAGATACTTATGGAGTGCTAAAGATACGTATGGAGTGTTATAGATAGCTATGGATACCAGTTGAGTGTTATAGATAGCTATGGAGTATTATGAATACAAGTGGAGTGTTATAGATACGTATGGAGTGCTATGGATGCCAGTGGAGGGTTATAGATAGCTATGGAGTGTTATGAATACCGGTGGAGTGTTATAGATACCTATGGAGCGTTATAGATACCTCTGGAGTGTTATAGATAGCTATGGAGCGTTATTGATACCACTGCAGTTTAATAGTTACCTATGGATTGTTATACATGCCTATGGAGTGTTGTAGGTACCTATACAACGTTACAGTTAGTCCAATAGATAGCTATGGAGCGTTATAGATACCTATGGAGTCCAATAGATCGACATGGAGCGCCATAGGTACCTCCGGAGCGTTATAGATAGCTATGGAGCGTTATAGATACCTCTGGAGTGCTATAGGTAGCTATGGAACGTTATGGATACCAGTGGAGTGTTATAGATACCTATGGAGTGTTATGGATACCAATGGAGTGTTATAGACAGCTATGGAGTCCAATAGATAGCTATGAAGCGTTACAGATACCTATGGAGTCCAATAGATAGCTATGGAGCGTTATAGATACCTATGGAGTGTTATAGATACCTATGGAGCGTTATGGATACCAGTAGAGTGTTATAGATAGCTATGGAGACCAATAGATAGCTATGGAGCGTTATAGATACCAGTGGAGTGTTATAGATACCTATGCAGTGTTATGGATACCAGTGGAGTGTTATAGACAGTTATGGAGTCCAATAGATAGCTATGGATCGTTATAGATATCTATGGAGTCCAATAGATAGCTATGGAGCGTTATAGATACCTCTGGAGTGCTACAGATACCTATGGAGCGTTATAGATACCTCTGGTGTGTTGTAGATAGCTATGGAGCGTTATAGATACTAGTGGAGTGTTATAGTTACGTATGGAGTGTCATGGATAGCAGTGGAGTGTTATAGATAGCTATGGAGTGTTATGGATACCAGTGGAGTGTTATAGATAGCTATGGAGTGTTATGGATACCAGTGGAGTGGTATAGATAGCTATGGAGTGTTATGGATACCTGTGGAGTGTTATAGATAGCTATGGAGTGTTATGGATACCAGTGGAGTGTTATAGATAGCTATGGAGTGTTATGGATACCAGTGGAGTGTTATAGATAGCTATGCAGTGTTATGGATAACAGTGGAGTGTTATAGGTAGCTATGGAGTGCTATGGATACCAGTGGAATTGTTATCGATAGACATGGAGTGCTTTGGATACCAGTGGAGTGTTATAGATAGCTATGGAGTGTTGTTGATAGTTATGGAGTGTTATAGAGAGCTTTGGAGTGCTATGGATACCAGTGGAGTATTATAGATAGCTATGGAGTGTTATGGATGCCAGTGGAGTGTTATAGATAGCTATGGAGTGTTATGGATACCAGTGGAGTGTTATAGATAGCTATGGAGTGTTATGGATACCAGTGGAGTGTTATAGATAACTATGGAGTGTTATGGATACCAGTGGAGTGTTATAGATAGCTATGGAGTGTTATGGATACCAATGGAGTGTTATAGATAGCTATGGAGTGTTATGGATACAAGTGGAGTGTTATAGATAGCTATGGAGTGTTATGGATACCACTGGAGTGCTATGCATAGCTATGGAGTGTTTTGGATACCAGTGGAGTGCTATAGATAGCTATGGAGTGTTATGGATACCAGTGGTGCGTTATAGATAGCTATGGATTGTTATGGATACCAGTGGAGTGCTATAGATAGCTATGGAGTGTTATAGATACCAGTGGAGTGCTATAGATAGCTATGGAGTGTTATGGGTACCTATGGAGCGTTATAGATAGCAGTGGAGTGTTATGGATACCAGTGGAGTGTTACAGATAGCTATGGATTGTTATGGATACCAGTGGAGTGCTATAGATAGCTATGGAGTGTTATAGGTACCAGTGGAGTGTTGTAGATAGCTATGGAGTGTTATGGATACCAATGGAGTGCTATAGATAGCTATGGAGTGTTATAGATACCAGTGGAGTGTTATAGATAGCTATGGAGTGTTATGGATACCAATGGAGTGCTATAGATAGCTATGTGGTGTTATGGATACCAGTGGAGTGTTATAGATAGCTATGGAGTGTTTTGGATACCAGTGGAGTGGTATAGATAGCTATGGAGTGTTATGGATACCAGTGGAGTGTTATAGATAGCTATGGAGTGTTATGGATACTAGTGGAGTGTTATAGATAGCTATGGAGTGTTATAGACATGTACGGTTAAATACAGTGTATATCTTTGCAATCCCTGTGCTTATATTATGATTGGGCTATTTCGGTTGCTCATATATCGAGGAAGGCCCCGAGTGTGCGTCTCACTAAATTTGCGTGTTTAATAATGTTTATCAAAGAAGGCAAAAATATATACAAGACAACCTCGCACGTGGAATCTGTTCACTTACGCACTGCGTTGTGATGCAGTACAAGTACAAATACAAATGACAAAGCATTTTTAAAGGCTTTAAATCCTAAAACATAATTAAATCATACGGCACATTCAAGATTTTAATTAATATCGTATTTCAGCCGCGTTTATATTGCTTGGCGCGCATTTGCTGCGTTATATTAATTTATATACCTATGTTATATACAAAGATTTATTACTAATAAATCAACACTATATGACAATATATAAGAACTCACAAAGTGTAGTCACCTTTTTATAAATAAACCTTTTTAAAAGCATGTCATTGTCATTGCAGCTATAGACCAGAGGCAAAAAAGGCCTACCAGATTTATTAAGCAATCGTGAGATTATATACATGGAAAGTATATGGAAATTATGTTAAAAGCACTCCGTAGCCTATAATGACGAAAGCACCGCGTATAATGCTCAAATCACTGCGTATAATGGCGAACGCACCACGTATAATCGGGCGAAAGTACCATGTATAATGCTCGAACCACTGCGTATAATAGCGAAGCCACCGCGTATAACGCTCGAACCATTGCGTATCGACAAAATGCCGTTTGATCACTTACGCCAGCTATGGCTTTCCATAAAAGAAAACCAAAAATGAAAGATGATCACATTGCTTGTTTGCCTTATGCCTGATTATTAGGCAAGAATAGCCTACCGGCCCGGAAGCAGAGCATTGTGTTAGGCCGAAATACGCCAAAACGATCGAGATTTCATCTGCCTTATATATATATATATATACATATATATATATATATATATATATATATATATATATATATATATATATATATATATATATATATATATATATATATATATATATATATATAACAATATATATATATATATATATATATATATATATATATATATATATATATATATATATATATATATATATATATATATATATATATATATATATATATATATATATATATATATGACAATACCCAAAGCCAGTACTCTGCTCAGCCGACAAGACTTCATATGTAACAAACAGAACGGTTATATTGAAGAAATTTATTAAAAAAGGTATATTAGATAAAAAAAACTAAATTTTCGGCTGCATGCCACAGCCTTCTTCAGAGTGACTAGCTTTACACAGAACATACTTATATACAATAAATTATGAATAAATTACTATTGTTGGGCGAAATCATGACTACCATTAAGGCCTTTCCGGTTGGTCAACAACATTCCTATCCAAAAGTTTTCACTCTTAAGTACTTCACTATGGTGTTGGTCAATAAGCATAAATTTAAAGCTCGAATGATCCGCCTCATGCACATCAATAAAATGATTTGTTATACTGCATGTCCGGCGCTTATGCTTAATGTGTGATTTGTAGTTAGCTAGTCTGGACTTAAAATTGGCAGTGGAGCCAACACCTTGCAAACCACAAAGCACACACTCAGCAAGATACACTACATTACTGGAAGTGCACGTCAAAGATTTTAAAATGAGAAATATCCTTCCAGTGGCAGC